AAACACTCTTGGTTGGAAATCCTAGTTCTGTTCCATAGGAAAGGTCAGTGTGCCCCTGCTGGAGTTATTTCAATGGTCCTGCTATACCCTGACTGGTCTCAATCATCTCACATGTCAAGGGTCGATAGGATGGGAGGGAGACTCCAAATGCCACAGATTGCATTAGGGATATTCTCCTCATAGCTTTAGATTTCTCTTAGGAAACTTAGGAAGTGAGAACATTTGAAATATTTAATGTGAGTTTTCATGACAACTTCTCTGAGTTCTTCAGCTTCCAAAGCAATGAGATCTTTTTATCCAGGAGTGGAATGGCTTGATGGTTCACCCAAGTCCTTGAGTCCTATACACAAGATTGGCATCTAGGTTCTAAATGATGAATCTGTGGTCAGAAAATTCAGAGCAGTATAGTTCAGTCCCTAGGTGTTTATTTCTTAGGAAATATGATACAATGAGTGTGATGCACAACGAGATTCATAGACTCTGAAAAGGAATCTCAAAGCTGTTTCTGCTTCCTGGTCATGTGTGTGGAAAAATGAAATCATGGAATCTTTGTGAACTGGTTGAGGCCAAATACATGACAGGTGATTCTGGGCCAGGGGACCCTTGACTGCTATGACAAAGTAGTGTGTGCACCCCATGAATTCACTGTAACATGAAATTTTGCATTGCTATGCTGGTGAGGAAATTTGGTACAGTTCCAGGGCTACAGGAGCAGCTGCCTGGTAAAGAAGCAGGCATTGGAGGAGCAGTGAGGCTTTCTTGGTGGTATCTCAACCCTCATTAACAAGAAGGACAAGGTAATCATCTATTCTGGAGATTACTTTGTAACTACATGGGTGGTAATGTCACAGAAAAAACTGGAGTGTATAAACAATATAGATGAGACACAAGTTGATAGAACCTAGAATATTCCCCATGGTGGAACTGAGACACAGCTTCTCATGTTGATACTTGAGAGTGCATTCAGGCTCTCAAACTTGAGACCAGCCTCTTGTAGATGGAATCACGTTATTTTCCAGGAAATGAGTGACACTCTTTTCAGCATTAGGGGATTTTGTTGAAATCTTTTCTGCAGAATATCTGTGAGGAACTTACTACTTGCTTGGAGCCAACAATGATGCAGGTGACCATATTGGTGGGCCACATATGGTGCATCTTGGGTTAAAAAAGATACTTCTCAGAGTCTCTTCAAGACTCCAGCTATTGCTGCTATCCTCCATGGCAGGGTTACATTTCCCATCAGCCCAGTTCATTTCAGTGGGCTAGAAGTGCCTGTGTCACTCCAACTTAGTTTGGTGACATTGTTACCTGATCACAGCCCTTAATAATATAGTCTGATGGCTATTTTCCTTCTTATCAATCTCTAGATCTTCAGGCTGTCTTGGGTACTGTGTATCCTCAGGGAGAGACAGAGTACCTGTGACTTTTCCTCTTCCCTTTGCTCCATGGGTAGCCCGGGCCACCCAGAATGAACTTTACCTGGCCAATTAAAGTTGTACCAAAAAAATAATGTACCAGGAGCTGTCAGTAAAGCTTCTCAATCTATATGTGAACATGTATAAATCTTCATTTTACCTCTCATTGTACTTATTTGTTCCTTGCTGATTTCTTTTTTACCTCACCTATTGAGCAATGTTAATATAGAGGCTGGTGAGGTTTAGCAGAAGACATCTGAGCATGGGGAGGCTGAAGGCTTAAAAGAGCAGAGTTTATGGCAGCCTAAGATGCCAAAGCACAACAGCTGAGTCTCAGACCCCACAGACTACAGGTAGAAGTAGGCCCAATCTACCCAGACTTTGAGGGTCCCAGATCATTTTTTGGTGTAAAATCCCAAGGTGTTCCATTCAGTCAGACACAAGGTGACCACTGGGGCATGATATGGGAGACTTGCAGGGCAGAGCTCCCATCAGAGCATCACAGGTACCTAGATGAGAAGTGCCAACTCTTCACAACAATGGGAGAAACTCAAACCTAGAAGTCTGTATAAATGACATTTTTCACTGACTAACACAGTAAAAGGTATTTTTGCCTGACAGAAAAGCATCTGACAGTTGCCATGTTGCAACCTTGAATTTTAGAAGGAGAAAAAATGGAAGCCAGAGATAACATTGAAATGTGGCAGGATGCAAGGCTCCAGTAAACTGTTATTTTCCCTGTTCCTTCCTTAAGTGGTACAGAAAATTGGTAGGCACATCCCCTCACTAAGATGTTTGCAACATTGTGTGAGTTGCACTCATCAGAATTTTGCCTAATTCCTAGGCCAAACATCTGCTGACAGAAGTAGACACAAACAAGCTAAAATAACTCCGAGAACCCTGAGTTGTGAACACTGGCCAGCAGGTCATTCTCACATAAATAGCTCACATCTCTGGTCTCTGCAGCACAACTATAGAATTAAACACAAGAAACTTAACTTTTACAATAAGAACCTCTTAATTTAGGGGATGCACCCCTGTTCTGCAGGGATCATGTTGAGAATGAATCAGAACAATTGTGTTGGCCCAGAATCGGATGTTGCCCTTTTGCAAAAGGTTCCTTTTGCAAATGGATGATGAGGAAATGAGGCTGTATGACTTCAATTGTGCAAAACACAGCTAGAGCTCCCATGGGAACATTTACTGTTTGTAGCTGTCACTCAAGGAAATGCAAGATACTTTCTTCAGTGTCTCTAGATAGGTGGTCCTGAACCAGTCGAATAGAAACTTCAATATGGAGGCACTGATGAGCACCCTGGGGGCATCTCAAGGTTGGTTCAGCCATACAACTGGGATTAGTTTTCAGTGTCAGGTTCAGTGTTAACAAATGATTTCCATGATCAGTAGCATTAGCTGAACATGCATGTGTGTGTGATAAGATGGGCTGACAATGAGTCTGTAGCTGTGGAATACAGATTTCCAGAGATGGGACTCAGAGGTTGAAGCTTACAACTAAATAACATTTTGCCTTCACAGCAGTGAGCACTGTGTTCCTTACAGTGGAAACTGGTGTGAGCAGCTGCAGGCTGTGGATAGAGTCCTTTGAGGATGGAAGTTCTATATTCTACATTAAAATTGAATTTCCTTGAGAAAATTCTTTGACTACAACATGATTTCTCCACAGGGCCATGTGAAGTATGGCACTGGCAAATATTAGGGGCCAAAAGTACTTATCGGGCTTTCAATAGAGGACCTCATCTTCAGCTATGTATGCCTGAGACAGAATAGTCAAGAAAAACTTCCTGTATGTAGTAGACACCATGCATTTCTCTGAGAAGCTCAGTGTCCTCTTCTGGGGCATGACTGACAAAGTACTGTGTGGAGTAATGGTTAATTAGCACAAATTGAGTGCTGTGGTGCACAGCTAAGGTAGCGCTGTGTGTGTAGTAGGATGAACACTGGGGTGAGTTCTTCAATAAATGTGGGCCTTCGAGGAGGCCTAGAGATTTTCCCAGGTAGTTTCAGAGATCTGATCCTGGTTACTACCTCCAATACCTCCTCATTCTCTACAATTCTGTGGAGGGTGTTAATTTTACCAGCATTCTATGTTAGTATAGCAGAAGTCAAAAGCAGTAGAAAGTGGCAGTTGAGGTTCCTTATGAGAAATTCTGTGTGATACATTTCTCTGTGAATGTGTTCACATTCAGCTGTTTACTTTGAATCAAAGGGATTAGCTTTTTCTCAGAGGGTGGGATTAGCTCCCACAAATCTTAAACAGTGCCTTGAAAGCTACATGCAGTATTTTAATAGTTGAGAGTAATTTGTTGAGGCAAAGACTCTAAGATCTTGACCCTTACCATCTTAGCATCTAAGCATCTAAGGTAATACTGCATTTGTAAGCTGATGGTTCTATGTCATGGGCCTGGTTTCAGATTTAAATTCCATCTGAAGAAATGCATCTCATTACAAACAATTCTGAGACTGATGTAGAGCTCATATATTGTGGGGTGCCTAGAGATCTGATCTAGAGCTCAGAACTGCTCAGACATGAGTTTGTTCTAGAATCAAAGGGGAGTCTGAGGTTTTGGGTTGGGTTCATCAGGCCGTAATGAGAATGGGAAACTTTCTCCAGATGAAACTTGGTTCTGGTGTGGGAACTAATGTTCAGACCACCTAGAGGATTACTTTTGCTGCACGCTGATTGGTCTCAATGATTTTCAGATTAGAATAGGTACCTGCGGGTCACCATTGAGACAAACTGGGACAAGGTGAGGTAACTAGAAAAATGGTTTCCTGTTTTAAGTTTTGAAAATTCCATAAATGTCCAGTTTCCACCTGACTCTGGAGAGTTGGGACTTTTTGGCTTCAAACCCAATGAAAATTACTTATAAACTGGAGTGATTTGGAATCTACACTGTCTTCAGAGATGACACAACAGTCTACATGCCATTATATGTCACCATGCACATGCCACACAGCACACAGAAATTAATTCTCTCCCTAGAAGAAACAAGCAGAAAACAATCTGTCCCCCATCACTTCCATAAGTCTCATGCCCCTGAAAGTGACTTGAAGCTCTCCTTTAGTTGGTTCTTTGACACCAAACATGAATTGGGCAGTGGCATTGCTTTGATACTAACAGTACTCTTGGCATACTTTTCCTTCACTGGATCAAGAGACTTGTGGGATCCTCACTGTGGAAATGTGAGTACAGTGGGACCTCCTGAGCCAAAGAACTTGTAATCTGTGACTAATGTTGCTGTAGGAGCTCCTGTGTGGGACAACTGTTTGACCTGTCACTGTTTTTAGATTTTGGTTCATGAATTTGACTGAATATTGTGTACAGTTCTGAATGATGGATGTGATGGCAACTTGCACTCACTTGGGATTAGGGATAATACAATGATAAATGACACAGAATTGGCCCAAATCTCCTTTGGTCTTTTTTTTCCCCACAATTAAACAATGCTCATGCTTCAGCAATGTATGAGGCATTTCATGGGTGATGTCTGATATGCACTAGGTCTACCTGGTCAGAGGGGTTACGATGTTGTTTATGCTTTTCTTTCTTCTCTTGGGCTTCAGGTCTCATTCCAGATCCTTGCCCATGCTGGGGACAGACTTGCTTCCTTCTCATTCACTCAGTGCTATACTGAAGCATCTGGACACCCAAAAATCAAAGCAGCCATTTCTCCATTGTTCTCCACTCTGCCATCCTGATCTGTAGAGATCAATAAATGCAAGAAAAGCAGTTTCTCTTTGAGCTCACCCCTGACATGCAAAACTCCACCCCTCCATCCACAGAAGGGTGCTGTAACTAAAATATGGTGGACTCCTTTCCATTCTTGGTAACCATTAAGAGCTCTTTTCTTATTCAATAAACACTCTTGTAAGTTCCTTCTTATATCCTCAAATTTGGTGGTCAATTTTGGGAATAGAGAACTCAGGTGCTTAAAATTAGTGACTATGTATACAAAATTGAGCTGTGTCACTGCACCTGTGTGACACAGCTAGAGGGTCAACTTTAGATGATGGCACCAAGCACATGGTGAAGACTGTTTCTCACTGTTTGTGGAAGAGCTGAGATGAACCAGCAAGGAACAGCTGGTGGGAGGAGGGCAAGGTGTTCTCAGGAGGTGACAGCTGAATCATGGGTAGTGGGCATTGGCTGACAAAAAGAAGACATGGAGATCACAGCAGAAGGGACATTTTTGCCATCACCACATGTGTGGGGACAGTGACTCTTTCCCACAGAGCAGTAGGAAGTTATGGCCACTGGAGGGAAAGCAAGGCAGGCAGTGTGCATCACCCCCTTCAATCAGCTGCCTGGGGCACTGAATGGAGATTTCAGAGGCAGACATAGTGTGAGGCAGATGCTCCATAGGACCCGAGCTGTAGGCCAGCTGATAACCCAAGGTCTGATTCATGCAGAAGGTGGAGATGTCTGCTCTGATCTAGAGGAGGCGGCTCTGGTGTCCCAGAAAGTCTGAGCAGCTGTTCATTGAGTCCACCCTGTTGCCACAGAGCTCCCTGCTACTGCCCTGCACTGAGGAGAAGGGGATGGAGAGATGAGGGATGAGGAAAGAGGGACTTTGTGTCACAGCACAGCTCATCTGGCCTGTGCCCTCTACCCTGATCCCCTCTCCCAAAGCCAGCTGTCCACTGTGCCTGAAAAGCACTTCTTCCCTTCTTTCACTTCTCTGCATCCTGACATGCATGCATCTCAAAGTGACAGCTACACATATAGTTACAATATCATTGCCAGGAAGAAACTATGAAATGTATAAGACATAAAAAAAGATTGTCACAAAGGCATAAGCAAATATTAGCACAAAATTTATTATCAGTCAACTGAAAGAAATTAGTGATGAAAACATATTAAATATTGTAATTACTATTAAATTTTGTTTTTTCACAAGACAAGAGGCAGCAAATGTATTACAAAAGAAATTACAATATTTGATAAGGATTGGATGGATTGTTTGGGGAAAAAATGATCTAGTTTGGCCCATAGATCATTGAGAAAAGCATGCCAGGAATCCTGGTTTTGAGAGTGCAAGGCAACAACAGGAGTCACCATTCTCTCTGCAGAACATGCTGTGGTTCCTGGTGAACTGCTCAAGCAGACAGTGCTGACCTACTCAGACATACTGGGGATGCAAAAGGGATGCACTTCTCCCCCTTCTCTGCCTGGAGTGTGCCAGGGTGTCTCAGTGCTCAATGCAGTAAGCACGAGATCTAAGGTTTTGATGGTGCCACAGGCTTTGAAAGGTTTTAGGTGAAACTGGCTTTAGGATCCTGTAGGAGCCATGAGGCTGATGGGCTCTTATGCTTTATGCAGAAGTCTCCATCCAGCAAGGACAGTGGGCAGAGGCAGCGCTGACTTGGGATTTGTGTGAAGCAGGGACTCCTGTGCATATGAATCTTTCCTCAGTTTCAAGCACGCCAACCACTCCTTCCCAAACACAACATGAAGAGGGGTTGGACAGGCAGAGCAGGTGACAGTGTCGGGGAAGAGGACAAAGAGAGATCTTGCACAGGCTTGTTGTACCTTCCTCTCAGCTGGTGTCTTCTGTGCTTAGCTTGTGCTCATATAACTGTTCATGCCCAGAGAAATCTGCCACTTCTTTACTGGATTTCTGTTGAGCTGTGATGTCAGAGCATGCTGAATATTGTCAAAGGCCAGAACACCCAGACCACCTTCTCTCCCTCACCCTCTAAATGCTGCCCATGCAGCCACAGCCGCAGGAAGCCAAGCCCAGTGCAGTTACTGGTGAAGACAAGGAGCTGGCTTGCTCTTCAATCATGGGTTACAGCACAGCATATAGAGCTACACACCACACTTAGTCTGAAGGTGGTCAGTGCCTGGCATTGTTTCCAGTGGATTCTGTGGGCACATAGTGGCTTTGTGTCTCCCAGCTCTGAAGACCTTACTAGTTTCCTAAGTATCCTGTAAGGGGAGGGAGATGAAGACTCCCTGTCCTGGGGAAACACACACACAGCTGTCAGGCTTGTGACCTGCCCCTCAGTGGCTCGGAGTCTTTGAACTCTTCACCTTCCTCCAGCATGAGCTGGAGACTTTCCATCCCACATTGGGGTCAGTGGCTGCAGAGGGTCCCATAAGCTCCAGTTTCCTGGGCAGGGACAGTGTCCTTGTGGGTTGTGGGTGGGGACTCCAGCCTTTCTCAGAGCAGCTCTGTTTTCTGAGGTCACTGAGGAGCTCTGGGAAGTCCCTGGTGCATACTGTGGCATTTGTTTCTGGCCACACCCTTGGTCACGCAGCCCTCTGGGGTGGAATGTGCCCAGGATGTAGTGCTCCTCACATAGTGCTTTTTTTCTTTTCTCTGTCTGGGATTTATTAAAAGAACTACAGAAAAACCTTAGATAAGGGAAGTGACTATGCACAGCTGATGGGAAGCTCAGGAACATTGTGTGGATGAAGCCTGAGTGCAAATCAGAGGCTCTTTCCTTCAGTGACTTGACAAATGCTGAAGTCTCCCCACTGCATTACATCCTCCCTCAGAACAGAAATACACAGCTGGAAACAAACCTGAGGGCTCACAATCTAGTGAGGCAGAAAACTCCTCATCACACAGTCATATGACCATTGTAAGTCTACAATCCCCACACACTGGAGGCAGAGATGGCAGGATCAACATGAGTTTGAGGCCAGCCTGGTCCCCTACTGAGTTTCAGGTCAGCCTTGACTCCATGGTGACACCCTGTCTCAAAAAATGCTTTTGTTGGTTTATCATGCAAAAAAGCCCAAATGTGCAGTGGGAAAATGGTGAAACAAAGCATGACAAAGTCTCATGATTTAATATACAGCTGTTGGAGTTGTTTCTAATAGTTGGGAAAGGATTACAGTAACCCTGGGAGTTTCACAATGGGATGTGAGGTTCAGAGGTCCCCCCGTGTATAAAGCCCCTGCTCCTCTTACACAGAAAAGCTGCACATGTTCCACACTGAATGGTGCCTGCTGCTGTTGCTGCTCAGGGCTCACCCTCAGGAGAGAGCCGTGTCCTTTCCAAGAGGCCCACAGTTCTGCATAACCACTGTCTCTGCAGTGAGGGCTGGGCATGCTCTAGACAAGGGACTAGCTTTAATGTGGCAGGTGCAGGGTGAGGGTCCTCGATGCCCTTCTTGTTGGGACTCAGAGATGGGTTGTGTCCTGTGGTGCTGTGCTGCCCTTCACTGACAGCTCCACAGCACTCATCTCTTTCTCTCTCTCTATTGCTGTTATTTGCTTGCTATTTCTGAAGACAAAAATGTGTACCAGATGTGCTTCTAGGGATGCAGTGAAAATCTGATTTCTGAATGTTCCTGGGCATCTGATTAAACTCCTTTGTCATTAATCCAGGCCCAATGTGCCCATGAGTTGCCCCCTCTGCTAGAACTTACTGACAGTGGCTGTTTATTTGGAAATCTTTCCCTTTGAAGTCAGTGGTATGCTATTATATTCATTAACTGAAAATAAAGGAAAACCTAATTGCATGGCTTGGATTTTTATTTTTTAGAACAGCTTGAAGGTCTTGAATAAACATTAAGAAGTAGTGAGGTCACACACAGTAGTACAGAGGTCACACCCAGCAGTACAGGGTAGGGCATATGTTACAAACAGGGAGGTGCTAGCTTTCCCTGTGACCTGGAAAGCTCTCTGCTGCAAGAAAGTTTCCCTCTGTGTGCAGTCACTTGCAGGGGCCACTGCAGAGGAGGCACCTGTATTGGACTGAGGGTGATGATGCTACCAACATCTCCTGTCTGCCACGTGAGACTTGCCCTGCTTTGCAGGTGGTGTCCCCATGAAGTTGGGGCTATATTCACACTGTGAATTGAAGAATGCTACTGGTTTCCTTGTGCCTCAGGTTGTGTGACAAGAGGCACCTTTGAGGCCTTTGAGGCTTCCAAGACTTCATCGTGAGTCTGCTGTAATCTCAATCCTGAGGATGGGAAGCAGTTGGCGTCAGGATACCGCTGGCCTCTGAGAACACAGAGAGTGACCTGGGAGAGGCCCATGCCTGCTGAACCTGACCTGGTAGTGGAGAGGTCTATGTGGAGAGGGGGCACAGCAGCCAGCATGTCTCTTTATGGACACTGCTCCTGCCATACAGAGCTGCAGCTTATGTGGAAAGAGCAGGACTGTGGCATGTGCATGTCACCCAGCTGATGGATGACAATTTAATAATCACCTTATCAATATACAATCTGTCCCACCTGTGGTTGCTCTTTCCTGTCAATCACTGCTCTTTTTCAAGGACAGTATCAGGCACAGCTGAATCATTGCTAAGAACAGCAGAAGACTTTCCCACCTTTTCAGTGGCATGTTTTTTTGTAATGGAAAAATATTTTATTCAGTAGGAACCCAGAAAAAATCAGGAGAAGCTATTCTAATTTCAGATAAAGTGGATTTCAAGGCAAAACTGATCGAAAGACCAAGAAGCTCACTACATATTGGTTAAGGAAATAATAAAACATAAACAGATAAACATATATGCATCAAATATTAGTGCACTCAACTTTTTAAAAATTTTAAAGAAAGACTAAACAAAACAGAAAATAGGTAGAAATACTACATATGTTCAGAGAGGAAAGAACCAGTAAGAAATCACTAGTTGATGTTTACATATTGTTGTTTTACAAATAGTTGTTCAAGATATAAAAATGGAACATGTAAAGTAGGAATTCAAACAGCAAGACTGCAAACAGTTCTGTTCAACTGTCCAACAAAAACTTAGTAACACTGTTGTCAGTCCTATACACTTAAACATCCATATCTTCATTTATGTTTAGATTAAACTAAAGCAGATTAAAATCATTCTGAACAAAGAATAATAGAATTGCTGGATTTCACATCATGACACTCCGGGATCAGCACTGGGTACTGTAGTGTCTTTTTTTTTTTTAATTTAATTTAAAGAAAGACTGAACAAAACAGAAAATGCATAGAAATAATACATAATGTCAAAGAAAAAAACCAGAAATCACTAATTGATTACAGATTGTCTTCTTACAAATAATTATTCAAGATATTAAAGTGGATCATATAAAATGGGGATTCAAACAGTGAGATTGCAACCAGTTCTGTTCAACTATCCAACAAAAACTTAGAAATATGGTTATCAATCCTATACACTTAAACATACATGCAGGTATCCATATCTTCAATTATGTTGAGATTGAATAAACCCAAGCAGGCTAATATCACTCTGAACAAAGAATAGTACTATTGCTGGGTGTCACATTATGACACTCCGGGATCAGCACTGGGTATTTTAGGGTCTGTTTTTCTTCAAAGTATCTGTTCATTTCATTATGTGTCATAAGACCAGTTCTCGTAAACTGTTTATAGATTCTACACATGCATGAGTCTAAACATGTATTTCTATCCTTTCTATATTAGAGGGAGAAACAAAACAAAGCAAAACAAAACATATTCCTATAAACACATGGAAAGAAAAAGACATAAGACCGTTGTACAATGAGTTCTACTATAGTTCCTGTGTTGTCTCTTGTTATATCCAATAGAATTGGCTATATCATCACACATAGTATAATTGAATATATAAGCATATAATAAAAACACAACATTGTATATAGTATAGAACTTCAGAAACCGGCAGTTATCAGACCAGAATGTGCATTGTAGAGTCTTGTTATCTTCAGTGTAGTTGCCTATACTCTCAGACTTGATACTATCAATTGGATCAGTTTTGAGTAAAACCTTCTCTGCCTCATTTCTGTTATGCTCTTTTTTTGCCATCAGTTATCTGCTTATTTCTTTATTCTGTTTTCTGCTCCATGCATTGAGGCCTCTCTGCCACTGTTCCTGGAATCCGAGTACTTTTTTCTGTCTCTAGAATGCCCTGCAGTATTCTCTGTAGAATTGGATTGGTGGTTGCAAATTTTCCAAGTTCCTCTTTGTTTTGGAAGCATCTTGTTTTTCCATTAATTTCTAGAGAGAGTTTAGCAGGGTATATCAATCTGGGATGGAGGTTATTTTCTTTCAGGGCTTGGAATATTTCGCTCCAGGCTCTTCTTTATTTTTATTTTTTAAAATTTGTTTAAAAGGAAAAAAAACAAGACAAAACAGTGTAAGAGTACAAGTAATACAGGACTACAAAAAAAAAAAAAAAAAAAAACAACAGTAAGAAATCACCAGTTAATAGATTACACATTGTCATCTTAGAAACAGTTGCTCAAGTCACAGAATTAAAGCATACAAAGTGGACATTCAAACAGTGAGACTGCAAACAGTTGTGTTCCATGGTCCAACATCAGTAATATGGTCATCTATCTAACACACATAAATACACTTGCAGTTGTATCCTTTAGAGCACTTTTTTTTCTCTCTTTTTTTACAACATTTTACACGTTTTGGGTTTTATTACTCCCACAGTTCTTATTACTCTCCTTTTGGAAGAAAACAAAACCAAATATGACAAAACAAAGCAGTCAGTCAAAACCAAGGATAGACATAGTACATGATGTAAAAACAGACTACAAGGTTATCAACAATGGTTACCAGAATGTCACCTGCTTCCCTAAAAAGAATTGCCTATATCATTAGGTATAATTAATTTGAACAAAACAGTAGAGAACAAGACTAATAAAACCTAAACATTGTAAACATTACAGGACTTTAAAAAAAATAATAGTCAAACCAGAATGGGCATCATAGTGAATTTTATTGCCTTCAAAGTAGTTGCCTATACTCTCAAACCTGTTACTATCAAACAGAGGGGAACAGAGTCTGATGAGTCAAAACAAGATAGTGGGAGTAATACAGGACTTTAAATCAAGTTAATAGGAAATCAAAAAAGTTGCTATAATACATCCTACTAATTTTTTATTTTCCCCTTAATTAAAAAAAATAAAACAATAAAAATAAATAAATAATTTTTTAATGAATGAGGGGGAGATTGAGGTAAAAGAGGACATAGCAAAATAACAATACAGGTCAAAGCAACCTACTGCTTCACCACCAAATAATCTGACTTAATAGTAGTTACCATAGTGTCTTTTTCCTTGAAATATTTGAATATAACTTCGTATACTATAGCATCAGACATATCAAAACAGTGTGAAACCATTCAAGTGAATGAAAGTATTACAGGGTATTTAGAACCAGCTAACAGAAAATGAACAATGGTTTCTATATTATCTCTTTGCCTATAAAAATTTTTGTTTATACTATCACATATAATAAAATCCAGTAAGATACAACATGATAAAACCAATGGAGACAGAAGAGCAACAGTTTGGTGGGACATCAAAACAAGATGATATTAAATCAGCACTAGTTATTATGATGTCTTATTTTCAAAAGAGCTGTTCATTTCATCACAGGCAATAATATCAAGCAGCCCAGAATAAAGCCATTCCAGTTAATGAGTGAAAGTTTTATAAGGCTTCAAGGCCACACAATGAGGAATTATGATTACCACATACTTTTATATATTTGAATCATTTCTTATATTATTCACACATGTGAGATTGATTTATTTCACTTATGAGTATGGTCTCAAGCTGCGCCCATTTATTGATAAATATCTCAATGTGATCCCTCTTTATAGATGAGTAGTACTCCTTATATAGAAGTGTTGTGGAGTACCACAACTTTTTTATCAATCCCTCAGTTGATGGGCACTTGGGTTGTTTCCAAATCTGGCGATTACAAATTATGCTGCTATAAACATAGGTGCACATATATCACTGTGGTATGATGCTTTCAGTTCTTCTGGGAATATGCCTAGAAGTGGAATAGCTGGAACAATTGGGACTTCCAATCCCAGCTTTTTGAGAAATCTTAGACTGACCTCCACAAAGGTTGTACCAGTCTACACTCTCACCAAAATACACAGAGCATCTTGATGGACCCTATCTCCTGATCTATTCTGCCTGTGTTTCTTTTCATTAGTGTATCAATGCTATCTATTTTAGAGATTACAGCCAACCTTCTCTGCCTCATTTCTGCTATGCTGTTTTTCTGCCATTGGTTCTCTACTTTTCCCCTTCATTCCACTATCTGCCCCATCATTGAGAACAAATTTAAATAAATGCAAAAGGGTTGAAATTATCCCTTGCATGCTATCGGACCATAGCACTATGAAATTAGAAATTAATGATAAAAGATACTGCAAAAATCCCACAAACACATGGAAACTGAATAACACACTCTTGAGTAATCAGTGGGTCACAGAGGAAATTAAAGGAGAAATTATACAATACCTGCAAACAAATGAAAACACAAATACAACTTACTGGAATCTGTGGGATGCAATGAAAGCTGTCCTCAGAGGAAAGTTTATTGCACTGAGTTCCCACATCAGAAAAACAGAACAAATACAAATAAATAACCTTATGTTACACCTCAAACATCTAGAAAAAGAACAGCAAGTCAAGCCCAAAGCCAAAAGAGAAGACATTATTAAAATCAGCAGAAATCAATGCAATAGAGACTAAAAAAGCAATCCAAAAAAAAAAAAAATCAATGAATCAAAGAGTTGGTTCTTTGAAAGAATAAATAAAATCGATAAGCCCCTAGCCAACCTTATTTTAAAAAAGGGAAGAAAAAGCTCAAATTCATGCAATAAGGAATGAAAGAGGCGAAATTACTACAGACGCTATAGAAATACAAAAGATCGTCAACACTTATTTCAAAAACCTCTACTCTTAAAGGTTTGATAACACAGAGGAAATAGAAAGATTCCGAGAAGCATACAAAGTCCCAAAGCTAGGTCATGAAGATGTAAAACTACTGAGTAACCCAATTTATATTAATGAAATTGAAAACGTAATTAAATCTTTACCTACAAAGAAGAGCCCAGGCCCAGACGGATTCACTGCAGAATTCTACAAGAAATACAAAGAAGACCTAATGCCAACACTCCTCAAACTCTTCAATGAAATTGAAAGGGAAGCAATCCTTCCTAAATCGTTCCTAGAAGCAAATATTACTCTAGTACCAAAACCAGAGAAGGACCCAACTGAAAAAGAAAACTACAGACCAATCTCCCTCATGAACACAGAGGCAAAAATCCTTAATAAAATATTGACAAATAGGATGCAGTAAATCATCAAGAAAATCATAAACCATGACCAAGTGGGATGCATCCCAGGTATGCAGGGATTGTCCAATATATGTAAGTCAATAAATGTAATACACCATATTAATAGAGTCAAAAGTAAGAATCACATCATTTCTGTAGATGCAGAAAAAGCTTTTGATAAGGTCCAACATTCATTTATGATAAGAACCTTGCAGAAAATTGGAATAGATGATCTTTACCTCAATATAATTTGGGCATCTATGACAAACCAACAGGCAATATCATATTAAATGGCCAGAAATTGAAGGCCTTTACTTTAAAATCAGGCACAAGACAAGGATGTCCCTTATCACCGCTCCTATTTAATATAGTACTGGAAATATTGGCCAGAGCAATTAGACAGAGAGAAATAAAAGGCGTTAAGATAGGAAAAGAAGTTAAATTATCATTATTTGCAGATGACATGATACTCTATATAGAAGATCCCCAAAACTCCATTGAAAGACTCCTAGATATAATAAATAAATTCAGTAATGTAGCTGGATACAGAATCAATACTCAAAAATGAATAGCATTCCTATACACTAACAATAAAATCACAGACAGAGAAATAAGGGAGGCCACACCCTTCACACTAGCAACCAAAAAATGAGATACTTATGAATTACTCTCACAAAAGAAGTGAAAGACCTATACAGGGAAAATTATAATACACTGAAAGATGAAATTGAAGATGATGTCAGAAAATGGAAAGACATCCCTTGCTCATGGATAGGAAGAATAAATATTGTGAAAATGGCCATTCTCCCAAAACTGTTATACAGATTCAATGCAATCCCGATAAAAATACCATCAACATACTTAATAAATCTAGAGAAATCCCTCCTAAAATTGATCTGAAGCGAGAAGAGACCTAGAATAGCAAGGACAGTTCTAAGGAGCAAAAGCAAGGCAGGAGGTATCTCAATCCCTGACTTGAAGTTATACTACAAAGCAACTAGTAAAATCAACAAGGTACTGGAACCAAAACAGAGCCGAAGATCAGTAGAATAGATTAGAAGATACAACCACAACTACAAACACTCAACCACCTTATCTTTGATAAAGGGGCCAAACATGTTGACTGGAAGGACAACAGCCTCTTTATTTAATAAATGGTATTGGAAAAACTGGCTCTCCATATGTCGAAAACTAAAACTAGACCCATGTCTATCACCATGCACTAAAATAAAATCTAAATGGATCAAAGATCTAAATATTAAAACAGAAACACTGAATCTATTGGAAGACAAATTGGGTAAAAACCTTGAAGACATAGGAGTAGGTAGAGAATTCACAAACAGGACTCAAACCGCACGGGAAATACTTCCCAGAGTCAATAATTGGGATTGCCTCTTATTAAAAAGTTTCTGCATGTCAAAAGAAATCTCCAGCATAGTGAAAAGAAAACCCACAAACTGGGAAAAAAATCTTAGTGAACTGCCCCTCAGGCAAAGGACTTCTGTCTAAAACATATAAAGAATTAGAAAGAATCAGACCCCCAAAATTCAAAGATCCAATCAAAAAATGGGCATCTGAGATGAATGAACAATTTTAAGATGAAGAAATGCAAATGGCAAATAAATAGATGAAAAAATGTTCACCATCACTGGTCATTAGAGAAACGCAGATTAAAACAACACTGATGTTTCATCTCACTCCTGAAAGAATGGCCAAGATCAAGAAAACCACCAACAACAAATGCTGGAGAGGCTGTGGGGAAAAAGGAACTCTCCTGCACTCTTGGTGGGAGTGTAGACTAGTACAACCATTGTGGAGGTCAGTCTGGAGATTTCTCAGAAATCTGGGACTGGAAGCCTCATTTGACTCAGCTATTCCACTTCTAGGCATATTCCCAGAAGAACTGAAGGCATCATACCACAGTGATATATGTCAACCCATGTTTATAGCTGCACAGTTTGTAATAGCCAGATCTTGGAAATAACCTAAGTGTCCATCAACTGAGGAATGGATAAAAAATTGTGGTGTTTTTATGCAATGGAGTACTACTCAGCTATAACGAATGATCACATTGAGATATTTATAAATAAATGGACGCAGCTTGAGACCATACTCATAAATGAAATAAATCAAACTCGCATGTATTAATACCAAATAGTTTCCTAGTATAAGAAATGATAAGAATACATAAAAGTATGCGGTAATTATGATTCCCAACCATATTGGTTTGAAGCCATATGATATTTTCATTCATTAATTGCAAAGGTTTTAACCTGGGTTGTTCGATTTTAGTATCTTTTTAAAAATAGCAAGAGGCACAATGGTAACCATTTTTGATCACCTGATATTCTATTTTTGCATCATGTACTATGCCCATCCTCTTGTTCTAACCGACTCTGTTTTGTTTAGTTACATTAGGTTTTATTCTCTTCAAAAAAAGTAATAAGAACTGTGGGAGTAAAAAAACCCCAAAAAGTGCAATTGTTATTGTAAAAAAGAGAGGAAAGGAAGGTGGTCTAAGGGATATAACTGCATGTATGTTTGAGGTGTAGAATGGAAAACCATATTACTAAGCTTTTGTTGGATCATTGAATGGAACTGTCTGCAATCTCACTGTATGAATGTCCACTTATGTGCTTTAATTTTATAATTTGGACAACTGTTTCTAAGATGACAATGTATAACCTATTAACTAGTGATTTCTTACTGTATATTTTTTTCTAGAAATTCTGTATTATTTGTACCCTGTTACTGCTTTGTTTTTTTTTTTTTTTTTTTTTCCTTTCTTTTTTCTCTTTAAATAAAAAAAAAAAAACATTATAGCTGGTTTGTAAAGTGTACTGGTTTTAGGACATGTTTTTTACAATATTCTATTAGATAACATGTAAGTCAACCTTTGTCTTGTTTCTACTGACTAGAGTGTGCTAAAAGTGATGTCTTGTGGCTTCCCAAACTAGGCGAAGAATGCTGTCTCACACTGTTGACCAGATGCGGAGGAAGACACTTAGAGCACCTGCCTGTCTCGGATATGGTTCCAGCCCATGGCCACCACACTCAGACCCATCAGTGAACCAGCCCTCGATATTCCAGATCTGCAGCCTCCAGCTTGCACCAATGAGCTTAGGGGAGCAGAGACATGTTGTCCTCACCAAGCTGCTCTCAAGCCCTAGCGTTGGGCAGAAGATAAGTACTGTCTTAAACTACTAAATTGGGGGTAATTTACTACAATCCAGCATAAGTTTCATGTACAAGGAGGGAAAAAAAGAAGTTTTTAAAAACAGACAAGAAGAGGGCTGGGGATTTAGCTCAGCGGCATAAGTGCCTGCCTTGCAAGCAGGCAGTCATGAGTTCAATTCCCGGTACCGATAAAAAGGAAAAGAAAAAGAAAAAGAAAAAAAAAAAAAAAAAAAAAAAAACAGACAAGAAGAAAAAAAATTAATCAGAAATTAGCCCCCTAGTAGGTTCTCACAAATAATGAGGCTCATTTATCAATAACAGTGCTAATATGATCAGCTTGAATAGAAGATAAATGTTGAGACGACTGAGGAAGAAGGCTTTCTAAAGTTCCTTTCAGTTGTAGGTTATTACTAGGAGGAAAACTGGTTTCTTTGGACTTTCTGATCAGTTAGGAGACATGAAAGAATGGAAAGCACATGAAAAATAATAGTTGAAAAGCAACAAAATTATTTGGTTTAATACTCAAAATCAGATATAAAGATTTCAACTACTGGGTTCTAAAACAGGTACTTCTGTATGCTTAGTAATTTGGTATTAAAACTTTATTTTCCTTTCTTTAATGAGGAAAAAGGAACACTGTGGAGCAATTTTTAATTTTTAATCTCAGAAGTACAACAAATGTAGTGTCCTTAGAAAGGGAAGAAAAGAAATACAGCTTTTCTTTAACCTGTTCAAGTGTGTTCACATGCAGAAGACCATATAACAACATTTCCCCACGGGATACAAATAGGCTTTGGAATTTTAAATTCATATCACTACTTTGACTACTATCTGTCTTTGTCAAACTGCCTGAACACTGCTTGATTTTTATGAACTATACTCTTGAAAAATTATTCTTGGGCTGAACTGTTTAATCCATGAGCCTTGTAATGACTGATAATGGTTGCAGTGGCTGATACTCTGTTTTAACTTGAGAAATTTAGACATTTAAGGAAGTGACTCAACAGAAGCTCCATGTCCTCACTGTGTAAACATGCTCATCCTGTACAAGAGGGCACGGAGATGGTGTGAATGCTATACCGACTCTCGGGAGTGGTAGTCTGATTACAATACAAGGGAGGGAAACAGGCTTACTCTTTATTCTTTGGCTCAATGAAGCTCTTGCTGTCTCCTGTCAAGTGGAACTCTTGCCCCTTTGCCATGTCACTCTGCCCTTGAGCCAGATGATTATGGACTGAACCCTCCACAAACTCTGAGATAAATGAATCTTTCCTCCCTGAATTATTAGGGTTGAGTATTTTGTCTCAGAAATAAGAGAAAAGTAAACACCATGTTTATTGAAGGATAAAGCAAGGTTACTATCCTCTTTGGTATGTTAACATAATACACTAACTTATTCATCTTAGCTAAAGCCCAGAGATCAGAAACCAAAATGAAGAAAAATATATACTTAGCTCGTTCAAGTTTTCCTGCTGGTTTCTTCATTTTCTTTTTCAGGCTCAAAATCTCCATTTCGAGGCTTTTCACATTTTCTTTTAGGCGTAAATACTCCAATTCAATCCTAAAATATTGATTTCAAAATAATTATTTGCACAGATCTGTTAAAAAAGTCACATAACCTTTGAAAGAGTACTCACAATTTTAAAAGTTAGAAAAAGTAGATGATTTGGTAGGTAAGATTTTTCTCATTGTGCTTGTTGACACTTTTTCTTTGGCATTATTGGGAGTGAACACAGGGCTCCACGTGGAAAGCACATGCTCTCTCCTCACTGTACTATTTCTGCTCCCCTAAATTACTCCTTTCAGGTACATTTATCAAAGCTAGAATTTTCCCCTGGCCTAATGAAGATTTAGTACTTATATAACTGCAATATGTCTCATATTATGCTGCTGATTTCCTTGATAGATGCTCAAGTCATTTGGTTAAGCCATACCTGTCTAAGGGTTCTTCCATTTTTTCCATCACGTTGCACAGAGCTTGTACCTTGATCTTGTGCTTCTGTCAACTGAAAATTAACAAAAGTGTTTATTAATAACCTGCCCATCCCTGGTGTTTGTTTCATAACTGTAGTGGACACAGCTATAATGCTCCACCTCCGTATGGTTTATAGTTACCTCTGTGCTGTGTCTACACCGTTAGCTGAACTGCTGACGCAGGGATCCAATGGCCCACACCTTACAAAATAACACCCTCTCCCCACTACTTAAGTTACCGACCCCAGCTCTAGGTCTGAAACATATTATATTCCTGATTTTAGACCTGTTAGCAGGTCCTCAAACTGACAAAACTAGAAGGTTAGCACAGTGCTATGGACCTGCATTCCTGGCTGCTTGGTAAGCTGATGCTTGAGACCAGCCTGGGCAACTGGGGGAGACAACTCTTTTGCAGGAAAGTATAAAAGTGAAAGTTTTGGTAAAATGGAGAGAAAGAGGAAGTCCCTTTACTTGTGCTGTCCTTTTAGTTGTATTTTTACATTCCACGCATCACATCCTACTTTATGGATTCCAAGTACTATTTATCAACTATGATATGAATAATGCTTATATGACTAAGAGCAATGCCAATGATAATAATACAGAAATGACACTGCAGTAACATCTAGATGTCTCCAGGAACTGTTGGACAAACAGTATCTAGACAGACACCAGCATGCCTGGGCCAGAGTTCCAACTCCACCAGTCAATGGCAGTGGGAGCTCTATAAAATTTTTCCTATTAGGTATTATTGTGTTTTCTGTTTTGATAAAGTTTGATATTGTAGGAAAGCTGAGGCAAAAGTTTCCTGAGGTCAAGTGCAGTCTTGACAATTTAGTCAGAAGAGCTCTCAAAATTTAAATCAGAAGCTGGGCTTCGTGTCACACAGCTGTGATTCTGTCACTCAGGAGGCTGAGTCAACAGGGTTACTGTAACCATGAGACCACCTTGGAGAGGCACAGTAAATTCAAGGCCAGGCTGGGGTACACAAAATGTCTCGGCACAGGGGTCATTTACACTTTCCCTTCTTCCTTTTAGTTTACTTCTCCCAGGACAAAACTTCATTAGCCATTGTTTAGTATGGATTCCTTCTGCACTGAGTCCTGCACTTTGCATAGTGAGTCATATGGGTTTCAATCTGAATTTTGTGATCCTCTAACATGGGGCTGGTGGCCTCACTGTTAGAATGCCACCCAGTATAAGTCACCTTGTATTTCTTTTATAATGTTGCTTTCCTATGGGTTCACATCGCTTTTTTAAATATTTTCCAGTTATTGCATGTATATTTAAGTGTATAAGATAGAAAGTGAAATCACAGAGTTTTATTGGATCATGGAACAGAACTGTTTGCAGTATCATTGTTGGAATGTCCACTCTACAAGCTTTAATTTTGTGACTTGAACAATTATTTCTAAGATGGCAATATGTAATCCATTAACTAGTGATTTCCGAATGTTCATTTTTTTCTTCTGTAAATCTGTATAACTTGTACCCTTTCATGGTTTTTTTTTTTCTTCTTTTCTCCTTAAATAAAAAAAAAATATTTTCCAGTTATATATGGTACCACTACCAATTTTTCAACATCTCAATACCTTTGTATATGACACTTAAAGTAAGATGATGGCCCCTGGCATTTTAATTCACAAATGACACCTTATCAACATGTCAGCATGTTATGTGTATGAAAAGTATAGTACAACAACAGGACTAATTTATTTGAATTCTAGAAAAAATTATTTCTCCACATTTTATCAGAGAAAACACTAGGCAGAATTCTGTAGCTCCCTTATAACAAGTCTTTTCTTGTTGTTGAGACAAAATAACCAGACTCACAAGTTAAGAGAGGAAAGGTTCATAAATCACAGTTTATAGAGGTTTCAGTTCATAGTAGGCTGGCTCCAGAACAGGGAGGCATTGCAGAGGGGCATCACGGACCAGAAGACAAGCAGGAGCAGCAGCAGCAGCAGCAGCAGCAGTAGCAGCAGCAGCAGCAGCAGAAGCAGCAGCAGCAGCATCATCAAGCTTCTTTCTGGCCCTACATCTTATCCAGGTACTCACCTTTAGGGCAGGTAGCACTCACACCCTTAATCTTAACATCACATCCTTGATCCCAGAACTATGCTAAACCAACCGGTGGACCAACATGGTAATCACATACCCTGAATCCCAACATCATATTCTAGAGATCTAGCTACCTATGAAAAAACCTCATCTATACTCCATGAGGGTTTGGGGGACAGGTATGCAGGAGACATAGCAGCAAGCATCTGTGTAATGGAGCTCGATGGATTAAATTGCTGTGACTTTAAGAAATCAGTCAGTGGAAGGAGCCACCTCACATCTCCACTTCCATGCACACAATGTGTCCCTGTGGTCCTAATTCCCAGACAGGAGAACACGGGCCACAGGAGAATCTGCTCTGCCTGGTCAAGAGGTACATGGTTTTCATTACACATCAACAAACTGTCACCCAGTCTTATGCGTTACTCTTAGACTGGACAAGTTTAAATGGCTGATAAACACTAATCAATGGGGAAAAATCATGAAACTGCAAGCTAGGACCACTAGTTCCTCAGTAAGAGAAATATCCATTTCTACTTTGTTACTGGCATCTTTTTCCTTGCTTACAGTCAAAGAGAAATACAGTGTCTCTGGGGAAAATGCTTGTGTAGCGCCCTAGTATCCATTCTTGGTGACCATATAAATTTCAAAATATCATGGAAAAGCTTTCATTGCAACAGATATTCAAAGTCTTAGATTCAGCAATTCAATTTCCTGGAATTTTAAAAGTTATTGTATCATATTAGCTGAGACTCATGACACACAGTAATATATCAATGTCCAGATCAGCATTATTGCCAAAGAAGTGTGGGAATAACTCTCAAATCCTTCAATGGATAATGGATAAACAAATGTGGTATGTGTAAAATAGGGATTTTAGGCTACAAAAATCTTTTGTAATAAAATATCACTGCCAAAGTCATGAATTGCATGAAACCATTTATCTTCCTTAAAGTTAAGAGCACGTCACTACTGCTAGTAAGGAGGTATCAATACGATTGCAACAAGTGTTTTTATCAGTAAGATTTTCATAGTGCCTAAAATATTCCTACATACTAGTAGAGGAGGAACTGCTTTCTAGAACAATAGAAATTAAAAAGAAATGCACTTACCAATCTCTTGCTCAACAAGTGTTTCCGAGCTCGTTCAAGTTTACCCCCTTGCTTTTGAATTTTCTTTTTCAGGCTCAAATTCTCCAATTTGAGTGTTTGCACAGATCTGTTTAAAAAGTCACATAATCTTTGAAAGAGTACTCATAATTTTAAAAGTTAGAAAAAGTAGATGACTTGGCAAGTAAGATTTTTCTCATTGTGCTTGTTGACACTTTTTCTTTTGCATTATTAGGGGTGAACACAGGGCTCCACATGGAAAGCACATGCTCTCTCCTCACTGTACTATATCTGCTCCCCTAAATTACTCCTTTCAGGTACATTTATCAAAGCTAGACTTTTCCCTTGGACTAATGAAGATTTACTACTTCTATAACTGCAATATGTCTCATATTGTGCTGCTGATTTCCTTTATAGATGTTCAAGTTATCTGTATATCATTAAGCCATACCTGTCTAAGGGTTCTTCCATTTTTTCATCATGTTGCACAGATCTTCTACCTTGATCTTGGGCTTCTGTCAACTGAAAATTAACAAAAAGTTGATTAATAACCTGCCCATCCCTGGTGTTTGTTTCATAACTGTAGTGAACACAGCTATAATGCTCCACTTCCATATGGTTTATAGTTACCTCTGTGCTGTGTCTACACCGTTAGCTGAACTGCTGATGCAGGGATCCAATGGCCCACACCTTACAAAATAACACCCTCTCCCCACTACTTAAGTTACTGACCCCAGCTCTAGGTCTGAAATATATTATGTTCCTGATTTTAGACTGTTAGCAGGTCCTCAAACTGACAAAACTAGAAGGTTAGCACAGTGCTATGGACCTGCATTTCTGGATGCTTGGAAAGCTGATGCTTGAGACCAGCCTGGGCAATAGGGGGAGACTACTATTTTGCAGGAAACAATAAAGGTGAATATTTTGGTAAAATGGACAGAAAGAGGAAGTCCCTTTACTTGTGCTGTCCTTTTAGTTGTATTTTTACATTCCACGCATTACATCCTACTTTATGGATTCCAAGTACTATTTATCAACTATGATATGAATAATGCTTATATGACTAAGAGCAATGCCAATGATAATAATACAGAAATGACACTGCAGTAACATCTAGATGTCTCCAGGAACTGTTGGACAAACAGTATCTAGACAGACACCAGCATGCCTGGGCCAGAGTTCCAACTCCACCAGTCAATGGCAGTGGGAGCTCTATAAAATCTTTCCTATTAGGTATTATTGTGTTTTCTGTTTTGATAAAGTTTGATATTGTAGGAAAGCTGAGGCAAAAGTTTCCTGAGGTCAAGTGCAGTCTTGATAATTTATTCAGAAGAGCTCTCAAAATTTAAATCAGAAGCTGGGCTTCGTGTCACACAGCTGTGATTCTGTCACTCAGGAGGCTGAGTCAACAGGGTTACTGTAACCATGAGACCACCTTGGAGAGGCACAGTAAATTCAAGGCCAGCCTGGGTTACGCAGCGAAACCCTGTCTCCAATAACCAGAAAGAAATTAATTAATCCAGGTATAGTTGCACATGTCTATTGTCCTAGCAATAGTGTTGGCTCATGCATGAGGCTAGCTCATTTGAGCCCAGGGCAACTTAGAGAGGCCCTATTCAGAAAGAAACAAAAATCGCCCATGGATAAAGCTCTGTGGAGGACCCTGGGTTCAGTCACCAGTGCCAGAACTGTCTGGAAGGTGAAGAGGAGATACTGGAGTTTTCAGAATGGCCCAGGGCTCTGTACTGGGCTGTAATGAGAAAGGCACAGGTGGATGGGAGGAAGGAAAAAGGGAGATACTTTCCTGCTCCAAGGGACCTCCTCAGCTGACCTCAGGGGAGAGAAAGCAAAATGTGATGTTTTTGGCAGGTGGTGGACAATGGGACAGGCTTTTTGTGCAAGCTGAACTGGTCACTCATGATGAAGGTGGCAATAAATGCAGAGTATGCAGCCCAAAAGACATCCCTGCAGTCCAGTGAGACTCATCAGTTAGCTCAAGTAGTCAGTGGCACTTGATTTGTAACAACTCACAGCTTATTCTCACATAGCAGTGCCCAGTGGGCAATGATCACTCAAACAGTGCTTCCTGGGTTAAGCGGTATGTA